TAAGCCACTTTCGCATGAGTTCAATTCTGGCCTGCCCCAGAGGTGACCACATAGCGTGGCGGACCTCTCTTGACCCGCCCACTGCTCCCCTCAGCAGTGTACTTCGTGGATCTGCCTGTTCTGCACCCCACTCTGTCCCTGATGAATTCTCTCACCCTCCGCATTCTAGTCTGTACCCCAGTTCTGTATGAATAAATACAAAAAAAAGATGAAAACAAAACAAATCTTATATTTTGGTAGTCTGATTAAGTTAACCAAGATTACTTGGTACTCTTCATGAAATAAGTCTTGAAACTGACTTCTTAAGGACACGATTTCAGCCATTACAAGCATATTTGGAACTCCAGCAACACATTAGAACCTCAAGTCAAGCATTCATGAAATAAATATGTATCTTAGTTCCTATTACCCACTAGTAATCTACATTCAATTAAAACTTTAGAAAGTGGAATAAATAACAATTTTTCTTTGGCTCTCATTTTCTTGTGCTCTTTGTCATTTTCATATCTGACAAAACAGATCAGATAGCTAAGTTTCCACCAAAGCACACTTTCTTTTCTAAAATCCATAATCAGTAGCGGAACCTGTTGGTAACAAATCTATAGAAATAAAGATTTAATACTACTGCTACATTATCAGAAATTCATGCATAGTAAAGCAATTTTCTACTGGTGGAAATGGGTTTTGAATATCCAATCTGGTTTCCTTTGAAAAGAAATAGATCTGTTGTGCAGAAAGCAAGGTATCTAAACACATTATCATACAAAGTATCTAAAATTTAAATAAAGATTTCAAAATACCAAGTTAATCAAATAGTAATTGCTGGAAAAATATTCTACAGCTACCCATTTAATAGTTGCATAGAAACTGTACTACATAAAATCTAATTGTGTATCAATAGACAGAGTTATTTAAAGTTATTTTTTTAAGCAGGTAGCAAAGGAGACTATTAATATGATCCAAAATAATGCATTAACCAGGCAAAGATCAACTATAAAATGATGCTTAAGTACTTAAGAAAATGCTATTCCCATAACTGACCTTTGGATAAGCCATTCCCTACTTCTCAAATTTCTTATATTTAAAGTACACAATACAACCCTACAGACCCAATTATAAAATTAGCCTCTGACTCATGGCTTAGAAGTCATTTTGTATGTGCTTCCTAAATAACTACCACCAACAACAACACCAACTCAAGAATCTCTTTCATAAAATTTCTGAAAGAGTATCATTCAGGCCTTTTTATATTGTATATTGTAAAGATCACTACTCTGAAAACACTGAGCTGGATTCTAGCCCATCTAAAATGTCTTAGAGGTATTTGGGTTGTTCTATATCTTACCCATTGTAAATAGTGTTGTATAAACAACAGAAGTGGAGGTTTCCTTTCAAAATAGTGTTTTTATGTTCTCTGGGTAGATTCCTAGGAACAGAATCTTGAATCATAGGGTAGATCAGTTTTTCAATGTTTTGAGGAATCTCCTCAAAGTTTTCCATAGTGGCTGGACCAGCTTACATTCTACCAGCAATGTAACAAGAACTAAACAATGGGTCAGGAAAAAGACAAAGCTTGCAAGCTGACCACAAATCTGACATCCAGCAAGAAAGGAGAAGGGACAAGGGTCAGAATAAAGGTGAAAAGAGTACAGGAGACCAATGATGATAGATCATAGGTGTTACAGTGTTGGGAGAACTACAGGGACTGCACCTGAGAGGAGAAATTAAATACTGTACAAAAATTAATGATGTAAGAAAATAAATAAAATTAAATAAATAGATAAATAAATGTCTTAAAGTAAGCCCTCACTTATCTCACTCTGTTTCTTCATGCATAAAAAGTGCAATGACCAAATGACCTTAATCCAAAATTAAGTCAATGATTTCAAGGCTCACTATTACAAGAAAGTAGTCATTCTATTTTTATTGTTAGAAAGGACTTTCTGTATATTCTTCAACTCAAAAAAGTTGCATTTCCTGAAATGTATTCTATAAAAATAAGACCACAGGATACAGTAAATAGCTATTAATGTTGTTTATAGTAGCAATAAATTGGAAACATGTATTACAAAGAAATACAATATATACATACATGATACCTTGGTATCCTATGTAACAAGTAAAAAGAATAAAGAAAACCTTTATATATACACAGACAAGGAAAGACTTTCAAACCGCACCATTAACCAAAGAAAGTAGTGCATGTATATTTTGATGCCATTATGAAAAACATTTTTGAAGGTCCAGGTCTGATAGAATGATGGAAATGTTCTGGTTCCACACAGATGATGACTGACCTCTAAACTGTGACGTAAATTATGGCTGAATTTTTTTTTATTTTAACAACTTTAAATTGCCAGAATGTGACTAGTAGCTACTATATTCAAGAACACAAGACTAGCAGAACAATCTATATTGATAAGTGGGCAGGGGTAGAAACTAGACGGGAGAGGATATGGACAAACCAAGATGGGAGAGGGTATGGACAACTTTTTGCCTTACCTAAATTACTTAAATCTTAAGTAATACTTGTTAGGTTAAAAACAAAATTTAAAAATAAAGGCCTTGCTGATTCTGAACCAAAAGATTTTGGCCTATGAGCTAGCATCACAGAAAAAAACATAGCTTCTCTTTTGCTTTTGCCATACCTAGAAAAAAGTGGACAAATATAACAACTTTCCCTTAAAACATTATTTAAATCACATTTTCTCTCCCAAACTCACCCTCTTTGATAACCCTATTTTTGCAACTGTATTAACTTGTTGATACAAGACAGCAATGCAACTATAAAGGTGAGGTAACTAATCCATCATTAGGTGATATATATATTTCCCAACATGGGTGACAGATAATGTAACTTCTCTATATTACAACCCCAAAGTCTTCTCCAAGTCAAAATTTTCCCACTAAAAACAGACAGAAACCTTTCACCACATTGTTCTAAACTAGTTTAAAACAACCCACTCCAGTCAGGATATAAATACTTCTGAGAAACTTATCTTAGTCTCTAACTAGCATGATGCTCGCCCAGAGCATTGACCCAGACTTCCTGAACACCTAAATGTTCAGTTGTTCATAAATGAATGCTGTGTACTATTAAATACCTCTACACTTAGGGGAGAGAACAGAGCAATGGACAGAGCCTCTCACCCAACACTACAGGCCTTATTCCCTAAAAGTTACACCTAGGTTAACAAATACTGACAAACTTCAATTTCAATTCATTCCAGACAGACTAAATCACTGTATACTGACTACCACTAAGACCAGGAAATCTATGCAGAGAATTGATGTTTTTAACATAAAGAATGAAAATATATATGTCTAAATATAACACAACAGGTCAAGTTGAATGGATAATCCCAGATGTCCCTTAAACCAAGTTTTCAACAGTCCATAACAAAAATGTGAATAATAACACATAGGAGAGAATAAATTTATTATAGCATTTCTTCTTATTGAAATTATGTCCCTCCTTTTTACTATCATTTTTTATATTAAAATATTCTCTAAGTCATTAAATAATGTCTTAGGTTGAAAGTAGGGAAAACAACTACTTTAGGTTTGTTTTTAAACAGTCTTCTTTGCCAAAAAACAAGTCAGCAATCAGATTTCTATAACAAATATTTATCCATCCATATCATCCATTAATTTTAAAGAAATCAGAAAAGTTTCCCAGCCCTAAAATGTATACCCTAACACACAAAGAAAGCAATTACTGCTACAACAAACATACCTCCATGTCTTAACATGGAAAAGTTAAGTTTTCTTTATCTTTTGCTGTATTATTCACTGTTATAATAATAGCTCAATAAAACATCCAATCAAGCAAAATGTACCGGTGACAGTGACAGCTGTAACTTATGACAATTACTTCTATAATAATAAAAGATGTCAAATTCTCTTTTAAGGTATTTTTGGCTACATTTAAGTATTATCCATATTATCCATATTATCCATACTAAAAAAGAAAGTTTATATTTATTAAGCTCCTGATTGGGGGGCGAGGAGTAGCCAAAAAGGGCAAAAACAACTTGCCAATAATAACTTGTTTCAAACCTTATCACAGACTTTTAAGCTTGTCACTAGCACTAACAAACTGCAAAGCTTACTGGGTAAATTGAAAGCAAGATAATGCGATAATGCTCCACAGGACACCCACCTCTTGTCCAAGCACCCATCTCCCAACAACCACAAAACATATTTGTTTTTAACTGTCGGTAATCTCTAAGTTAAAACGTGAGGGTTAAAATACAGAAAGGCCATAGCACACAGTATAAGCAAAAAGGCATTCAAGTCCAGCAGGTCTAGTTCCTAACTCTGTCCCTTACTTTCTGCATGTGACCTTGGACAAGTCATTCAACCTCTTTCTTGAAGCACCACAAGGCTGAAAGACCCCTAAGAACAAAAACCACTTCTGCCTCAGTGGCTACTAATAGGCACACAGCACAGAAGTGTCCGTTTCTTCTTGCATAAAATAAGAATGTTAATATTTACTGCACAACATCCATGAAAGGATTAGATAAGTTACTCTGTATAGAAAGCTCAGGCACAGCTCCGCACCACCGTAACTGGTCAATGACAGCTGACATCAGCTAGCAGTTGTCAAATCTTAAAGTACTGTTCGAAGACTTTGGAATACCAATTTACGAAAAAAGTCTTTACCCAGTAAGGACACACACTGCTTAATTGATAAAAAAAAAAAAATATTCCACAGCAAACCCATGAGTAGTTTCTATGGCACTGGGCTGGGAATCTAATGAATTGTAGTAAATGAATCCTACAAACCCACGCTATTAAAAGACAACACTTCAGTCAACTCCAACTATTTTCATTCAAAATGTAGGCCACAAGTATCTGCCTCAAGAGCTTCCCAACCTCCCCTTCAGGACTCTGGCTGCCAGGTACCCCTTCCGTCGCGATCAGGGGGAGGAGAGTGAAAACCTCCGAGGTGGGAGCCCGGAAAAATGCTCATCCCCGCGCCACTTGCCCAGACCCACCTTGAGCAGGATGGATGGCGGCAGCTGGTTGATGTCTGGGGTTTCCGGGGACGCTTCCCTGTGACAGTCGCAGAGATTTTCGGGGGGCTCCTGACAGTCCGCGTCGCCGCAATCATGCTGCTGCTGGGCGGGCGAGGGGGCGGTGCCCCCCGCTCGGACCGCGTCCCCGCCGGCCTCAGTAGGGGCACCTTCGGAAGTGGGAGAGGAGGGCGAGGGGCACAGAGGCGGCGGTGGCTGTTCAGGGCCC